TCTCTCTCCTGAAGAGTTCAGCCCAGAGTCGCCCCCTGGTGGCCCTGAGATGCAGCCCTGAGACCCGCAACACCAGGCCAAACACGGACAAACCAACAAAAACAAGACAACTGTGCCTTCCGTCCACCCGGTCAGTTCAGTGTGTGTAGAAACGCGTGGGGAATGTTATGCCGAGTTCACACTGCATGATTTTCAAAGTTATTAAATCACTGTTTTTTTTCACATTGCATGACTATCTGTGGTAGCATTAAGTTCCTGCTGTGTTCACATTGCACGATGGATCGGCGACAGGAGGTTACAAACTGCATGACTTTACAATAGAAAGAATCGCCGACAACTCTGTCTGGTCCGCAAACTACGTTTTATATAACTCCTCCCTGCCCTGTATCTTGCTCTCTCATTGGCTGTAGGTCATCAGCGATGTAGTTTTCAGTCAGAACTCATTTCACACAGCAGTATTTTGAATCACCGACAGATCTAGATATTTACACTCTTAAAAATAAAGGTGCTTCACGATGCCATAGAAGAACCTTTTTTGTCTAAATGGTTCCATGAACCTTTAACATCTGAAGAACATTTCTGTTTCACAAAAGCTTCTTTGTGGTGAAAGAAGGTTCTTCAGATTATAAAAAGGTAAGAAAGAGATGGTTCTTTAAAGAACCTTTGACTGAATGGTTCTTTGTGGAACCAAAAATGGTTCTTCTATGGCATCGCTGTGAAGAACCTTTTAAGCACCTTTATTTTTAAGAGTGCATAGGGCTGCACGATAAATCGAAATGAAATCGCAATCGCGATAAGGCAAAAGCTGCGACTGTCATGCGCATCTTATCAGTGAAGCACGCTTCAGTGATCAGTAATAAATCTCCATCCAAAGGCCAGAGGGTGCTCTTGCGCTGAAACTCCAAATACGCCCGCAGAAGAAATCCAGGAAATCCCTATAGCGGTAGCTGAATAAACAGAAGATTTACCTGCTTTCATTGATTCAACGTGTCTAATAAACAAACGACTAATGCTGCGTTCAAGTCCTCCTGGGATGTTCGTACTTACGAGTTGACAAGTCGTAATTACGACGTCAGGTGCGTTCAAGTCAGTTTAGTCGGCACAAGATGGCGGTGTACCTTCTTTAATACAATCTATCCGACATGACTTGAACGCACCATAACACAATACATGATTTATCGGAGTGCTTATTATAATTATTATTATAATTTCCATTATAATATAGTATATAATAATGCAATGCCTTTATCACTGCTTAGAATACTATGAAATATGTTGCGTGCCTTATTCTGTGTAAGAAGCTACATCATCTCACAGAAGGATTTATTTCACACATTCGACTGACGTTATGAAGTGAGTTTGGAGTAAAAACATGTTATTAAATGTGGTATTTTAACGTGCTTTCAGACGGAGCAGCATTTACTACACAGAGCAATAGTTCACTGAGAAGCTACGCAAACAGCTTTCATTATCGTGAACGATAACTTTGAATTCATAATCGCACGATTAAATCGTCTGCGGTAATGAACGCGGTTTTGCGTAGCTTGTCAGTGAACTACGGCTCTGTGTAGTAAATGCTGCTCCATCTGAAAGCAGGTGATGGAGATTTACTACTAATCACAGAACCGGCTTTACTGACAAGATGCGCATGACTATCGCATTCGATTAATCGTGCAGCCCTAGTGTAGCATGTTAAATATTTCACGGGCGTCGGCGATTCTCTGATTGCATCTTTGATAATTGTCACTCACATGAACGAGCACCGATTTGCCTCCAATTTTGGGCATTCGTTGGTGATTTCGCAAAACCTGTCGGCGAGTGAAAGTCGGGGCTAAAATGGTGCAGTGTGAACACAGCATTAGATGTTCGCCGTCATCTGATCGCTTTCACAGCGTGGATTCGCACTCCACTTTGCAGGTGGTGGCGGCGGCGCCTTTGCGTGTGAGCTTGAGGAAGCTGGGCTTCTCGGTCACGGCATTGTTATTGGGGGACGTCAGCGCCCGCGTCTGCTCAGTCTCTCCGCCGGAGCCCGGGTAGATGACGAGGAAGCAGGCGGACAGGAAGCCCAGGAAGGAGCCGCCGGAAGCCACCATGGGAATGACACACACGCTGCCCACCGCGTCCACCACCGCGCCCAGCGCCGACGCCACCAGGATCTGAGAGATGTACACCTGACACGAGAGGATGGCGCAGTCAATGCCGAAACCTCGCTTGGAGTTGCCGGGGCTGTGCTGGACGTACTGCAAACAGCAAGAACACATCGGTCGCATATCAGTGTCCAATAATTCTGCTCTCTATCCTATGAGATCTCAGTACAGAAATCTGTTTAAGACTTATCAAGAGTATTAACAATAAAACAATACCACAATGAGTACAGTGGCAACCATATATAAATAACAACGCGTGAGGAAACTGCAACATTTTCACTGTTATTGAAATATTGGTCTGCCAAAACTTACCACGCGTTGCATGAGTTGCTCTAAAAAGGCTGTTTATTTCGAGACGAGCAGTATAAAAAATGTATTACACTATGAAACCAATTTGCTAAAATTAATCAGAAAGACATTTTCATAACCTTGTGAGCAAAGAATATTCATATTTCCAATTGTTTATGATTACAGGACACATACTTTTTTTATATATATGTATAGTGATTGCAGTTTAAATTTCTGGCTGAATAAATATTTTAAATTAAATATTTTAAATATATATTTAAATATTAATTAAAAACATTTAATTATTTTTTATTTAATAAACAATAAAATAAAAAGAATCAGAATTTTCCGCACAACCCATTCC